TAGATATATACGAGAGAGAGTAGAGTATATTTATTTTTACTTCAGTGGTGGCGGCGGTGGCGGGCGCGGCGGCGGCGGCGCGGCGGCCCCCCCCTCCCCCTCCTGACGTCATGTCCACGCGTCCAATTTTTATATCATCTTCGTTATTTATCTTTTGGTAATTATTTATCACGGTGCTCTGAAGACATCAATCGTCGACGCTGTTTACATTCAATGGCACTGGGTCGCCCAACACGCGCGTCCCCCCCCTCCCGGAGCTCCTCGGTTGCGCACAGTTCCCCCCGCACACCCGCATCCCCCTCAACGCTTCTGGGTTAGAACCGGCCCTATATTCCTACTCTTGCTTACCTGTCGTATCTGACCCGTCGTACGACTATTTCTTTTAATAATTCAAAAACTAAGCTTCATACTAAATTTTGAAAAAAGAAAAATCGCTTCAGAATTAAGTCACGACATTTTAAGGACACAATGTTATTTTGAATCACTATACAAGGATATTCTTAAGAGAGAAAATTATTTACAAGCTACTAATTAGATTTTTACAATCTTATTTCGTTCGGTATTTATAATATGTACTGGAATCTCGGTTATTTGCCGAAAATATTCGCGAATTTTTGGAATTGCACAATAGTACATAGGTGCGCGACGTGAGACGGTGCGCGGGGCTCGTCGCACGCGGTGTTTGCCGCGTAACCGATCAGTTGTTCGTCATGTCGTTATCGTTTATCTTTTCTGGACGATTTTACAGTCTGGAATAGGACTTAGATTTGAGGTCTGTTCTTTTCAGCTGAATTTTTTGCATAGTTCATCTTTCTTCCTTTTTTCCTATGTTAAAGAGAAAAAGAGAAAAGATGAACCGTGCAAGAAGTTAAGTTGAAAAGAACAGACCTTTGCTGTGGTTTGGAAACAGGAAGCCCCCTGCTCTGTTGTCTATCAGTAATGGATGTCGCATGCAAGTGCCTGCCTTAAGGGTCAAATTATACCCTAGCTTGTGAGAAATACTTGCGTACTCTGAAAATAGGAGCGATCCGCCAGAAGCTCCTGGCTTACTAGATAGTGCCTTAGGATCGCAAACGGAACAGATCAGAACAGATTTTACCGAGATCAGCACTGGACTGGTTGCTATCTTGCCGGGAAAAAACGAAAATCATCCGTCAGAATATATATCCGTCAGAATATATATTAGCGTATATATTCGAGTCGGCCGTAATTCGTGATAAATCGGAGCAGGTCGGCCGAACTTGAGCTCTGGGCTTGACTCTGCGGATTTCGCCGAACGAGTTCGTCAATTCTGTGAATCTGTTCGGTAGCGCGGTCAGTAGCGGAATTAGCAGCGGTGACTCAATGCACGAATCGTTATGTTCATGTTCTGCTCACGTGAACTATCGCGTTGTTGGTCTACGATGGGAATCGCGAATTTGTCGACGATGGGATCACAGAGGATCGCCGTGTCGATACCCCGACGGATCGTCGGTTTCAGAGAACTTAATTTACGCTGTTTTTAATAACGGAAGGAGGTGACTTAGGCGTATCGTTACAATTTTAAAGCAAGAATGTAATTACATTATAACAACATGTAGTGATATTAATAATTTGCAAAATATTAACAATTGAAATAATTGAAATAATTGAAATAATTGAAAATAATATATAGAACAACCCGAACTAACAATATATTATAAACAACCCTAATGTAATCAAATAGATATTATTTAAACGAATTTGAGAGATGTTGTAGAGGTTTAAGCAAAATTTAAGATAGAGATTGATGGAATCGAGAAAAATATAAGAAGCGGACAATTTTTTCGAGAAAAAGTCAGTTGAAAAAATTTTGACTCCTTTAAATAAGACATACTTAAAACACTACTACCATTTTACTGAAAAAGATCTTCTTATCTAATATAACATATTTAATTTTCAAAACGATCGGAAGAATAATACATAGTTGAAAAAAATTGAAGAATTTAAGCATGTTGCGTACGGTTTGCTATTGCACAATAGATATACAGAGTATCACAGCATTAATTTTTTTATCATTTGTACTGTTCTAGCGATCTTCAATTGTTTTCCTTTTCTCGTTGTTTCATTTTCCATATTGAGTAATTTTTTGTTAGAGAAATAAGTTACAGTTATGTCCATTTCTACTAATGTAGTTTAACCTTAATCTTTTAATTTTTTTCTAATTCTTAAAATTAGAAAGAAACAAAAAGGAAGTTAATTCGAAATAAAAGTTAATTTATACAGATAAAAATGGATAATAACAATCTCACACTTCGACAGATAAATTGTTTACTGCGTTTTGAATTGGCTTCTATAATTTTTTACAGGGCATTCTAACTACTCATATTAATTTCTTATAACATTTATTAGTTTGTTTATATCAGATACTATAACAATTTGCTAGACTCTACGTATATATATGAGAATAACTTGAAAAAAAACTATGAATTGTTTTCTGTATCAAGGAAAGGAAAAGAGGGAAAAAGAAAGAAAAGGAGGAGGAGAAAGAGAGGAGAGAGAGGAAAGAGAGGAGAGAGAGAGAGGAAGGGAGAC